ATTTTTATAAAACAATTTCGACATTTTGTGGAATTTGTACCAGTTAAATTAAATGTATGGTTTAATCAATAGGTTTGATTATCAAACAGGTAGAAATCATTCCATTGGTTATGTTAACGAGTTGATTTAAACAACGACGAAGCAACACGACACGGCAGGTCAGAGCCGGTGTGTAGTCGTGCGGCTGCGACGTAGACACAGCTGACACGCTGTTCTTACCGCACTCTAAAGTTCTGCTGTCATAACTCAAACAAACGGCCATTCCGTGCTGCATTGTGGAAAGGGAAGCATGAAGCATGGAGCCGTTTTATTATGGAGATGAGAAAAAAAAAAAGAAAAATAAGAAGCGGGGAAGATGACAAAATGGAGTAAAGTAAAGAAGTAAAGCCATGGGGCGTGTGTTCCTTTTTGTTCTGCGGCTAATGAAGCGTGCGCTTATACTGGTGCAGAAATGACATGTCACACAAACACTCTAAACACATTCTTCCCAGCCCACCTGAAGCAGCTGCGACAGTGTGGATGTGGCTGGGGAAGGGGGGGGGGGGGGGGGACGCGGGGGGGGGGGGGGGGGGGGGGGGGTGAATTAAATTTCATCACAAAAAAAAAAAAAAAAAAGAGACGGGGGCTGCATGAAAGCGAGAGGGCAGACGGATGAAAAACAGAGCGCAATACGAGGATGCGATATTCACAGAAGATAAAAAGCGTGTTGGTGGGCACCGGGGTGTACTGTAAGGGCAAATGAAACAGCTGCAGCTTATCTGATGTGTTCATGTATCTGTGTGATCACACTGCTGTCGGAGATGTAGGCCTGACTTTGACCGTACATACAGTTATCGCTCCATATATCTGTCCTGGGAGCTCAGCTACTTCACACTGGACTCTAACCTTGTAACAAATAAACAGTGTTTATTCTATGAGTCTGATGGAAATAGCAGGTGGAGGGAAAATCTGCCACGTTACGATTTTCATTCCACCTGGTTCTACTCGCGTTGCTGCTGTTTTCAAAATGTGTATTTTTGTTTCAATACAGGGAAAACAGATGTTTTGGATGATAGTTTACATAAAAGCTTGTGAGACGTTGCTTTGAAATGTCCGATAGCATTAGCCGGTCAATAGCGTCAGCGCAATGTAAGCATACAAATGTCGTATTTTAATATATATTATACTATAGCTCTATACTGCGGTGGATGCTCTGTTTATACCTAATATTGAAAGTTGCTTTTTTCCCCAATTTTTTTTCTCAAAAAGTTGTTGGAATGCAATTCTTTAAATACAATTTACTCACAGACTATATACAAACTCCTATCTCAGTGTGAACCCTGAGCCTGTTTAGTTGAACACAATGCTAATACGCTGGTAGGAATTAAAGGAAGACACACATGGGGATA